GTCAAGTAGAGGCATACTAGTGACACTATGTTTGTCTATGTATTCACACATGTATTATGTTTCCGGTAAATACAATTTTAGCATGAATAATAAACATTTATCATGATTATAAGGAAATAAATAATAACTTTATTATTGCCTCTAGGGCATATTTCCTTCAATAGCAACATACTAAACGATCGGGTGCTAAGCTAATGGAATGGGTCATGTCAATCAGATCATTCACCTAATGATGTGATCCCGTTAATCAAATAACAACTCTTTGTTCATGGTTAGGAAACATAACCATCTTTGATTAACGAGCTAGTCAAGTAGAGGCATACTAGTGACACTCTGTTTGTCTATGTATTCACACATGTATTATGTTTCAGGTTAATACAATTCTAGCATGAATAATAAACATTTATCATGATATAAGGAAATAAATAATAACTTTATTATTGCCTCTAGGGCATATTTCCTTCAGCCAGTTACCTTAGACGTGCAAACCTGGTTTCCTTAAGGGGAGTTGTGCGACTACCAAAGATGGAGAAGATCAAGACTTGCACAACAAGAAGATCAAGGTGACGGACAACAACCACAAACCAAGACCCCTATATAAGGCACTCCCTCAAGACAAGAGGAGACCTTAGACTCCTCCAAAAATCAGAATAGTTTATTAGTTCATTAGTAGATCCGATTAGGGTTCTCCGTCGAGATCGTCCACCTCCAACGCGAGCGACTTGATCCTCAACTCCCCGAATAGTCCATTACACTCCCCCATTGTAATCAATCTATGGTAGAATCTCATATAAGTAGGAGTAGGGTTTTTACTCACCCGACGAGGGCCTAGCCTGGGTAAAACTTGTGCCTCGTGTCCATCTGGTAACCCGAGGTAATGTCCCATTACCATACAATTCTATGTAGGTTCATCGTATTGTTATTTTGTACTTGGCAAAACACTGTTAACATCAAGTTAAGCGACCGCTATTCCATCTCGTCCATAATTGTGGACATGATTGCTCGAACAGATTGACACGCTGGACCCACAAGACTTGATTGTTTACCATGTCAGCCATGACTCACCATGCGTTAAGTATACGATGCAAACACGCAACCAAGTCTCTTATCAAGTTTCACCCCAACATAAGATCTGCCCATGATACCTGACACTCATAGTACACATACTATCGCCATTCCCACTTGGGTAAAAAGTGTCCCATCACAAAGCATCAAAAAAAGGAATACAACTACCGAATAGGATTGAAGAGTTTATTATTTTAAGTTTTGATTACCTTAATTTTCACTAATGTTCAGGCTACAAAACTCAGGGTGTGATAGCACCCAACTATAGGTCCTCTTCTTTATGCTTCCCAAGCCACCTCATGTGTCTAATGGGACCAAACGTGACGCAAAATTTTGAGATTTTGTCATACCAAACTCTATATTACTCTCGTTTTCATTCCCTGAATACCGTGATGAAGCCTACCAATAATTTCATCACATCGAGCTTGACAAGCACAAAATTTCCTATTTCCTAAACATCTAGTTCCCGCAAACCCCTTTGATCGATACCTAGGAGGACACTTGTGTAATCTAGATCCCAACCGCCATCCTATCCACTAAGAAATCCCTAAACAGGCGAGGACCGCCCGCTGTTATTTTCTGCCAATCTCCGAAACCAAAAGCTTGAACCGTGAAAACTAAATTTTTCTCAAGGGCGGTGAATTTCAATTTCACTTCCCGTGCATGCCACCGTCATGTTCGCATAAAATTTCACTTCTCTGAAATCCACCGCCCTGATCGCCAGACGAGAGGCATTCTAGCAACAAAGCTAGCACTAACAAGCAAAAAAAAAAAAAAAAAACAACAACAACAAAGCTAGCACTAATAGTAATAGGTTAACCAAACCAAAGCAGACCCAACGACCGTCGTAAAGCACCAAACCAAACCAAACCATTTCGCAATCTCGCAAGCGACGCAGCCGCCTCCACCACCAGGAATCAGACCGCGCACGCCTCCTTAGCTCGAGCCCAGACCGGAGCCCTGTTCCGCCGTGGATCGCTGGAGGAGAGGGCCACCGGCCGGATCCCGACGGGCCAGATGGTGGGCGACCCCCGCGGCGGGGGCGAGTAGCACGGCTGCGATCGGCGGCGGACGGATCGGCGGCGCCGCAAGGCGGCGGGGGCCACCATGTCTGCCGTAGTGTGCGGCAAGAGGTCCTCCATCTTCGCCGACGAGCTCATCCCCTCCTCTCCGCCTTCCCCTCCCCACCACCACCCTTCCAAGCGGTCCCGCTGCTCCCCGACCCGCGCCTTCGACGACGCCGCCGCGGCCCACCGGCGGGAGGCGCTGCTCCACCACCTTCGCTCCCTCTTCCCTCACATGGATCCCCAGGTCTCTCGCCCTGCTTTGTCTCATTAATTTAGTTGCCAAGAGAGATTTGTTTTGTAGGAATTGGCGTTGGACGCACGAAGGCGACTCTTTTCATGTGAATTTTGTGCTCTGTGGTTGGATTCTGCTGTGCCTGGAGCTGTGAGTGAAATAGGGCTAATCTTAGTATTGTTGTGATGAGAGGTTGGTGTTTGGAAACCTGGGTGTGAAGATCCTCTGTTGCTTTGGTAGATTTGTGATATTTCTAATTCTCCAAATGCTATGGTGTTGGATGCTGAAACCAGGTCCTTTTGTTGTGAAGTTAGGGCATTTCTAACCGACCCCCTCAAAATAGCGGAGTATCCGGCGAACTGCCGACGGGAGAGATCCGAGCGACTAGAGGCGGAGTCAATACCTGCATGTGGCGCAGAGGCGTCGCCAGGGCTGTGTGGTCCGGTACCCGGCCAATCCATGGCAAGGCGCAGTCGCCGGCGGCCGGAAGCGCCAAATCCGGCGGCGGTGGCAGCAGCCGCAGATCTACCGGTTATGCGCCGGCAATGGGACAAGGAGGCACAAATCCGGGTGGTTAAGGACCGCGGCGAAGCCTACGGAGCGTCCGCGGTGGCGGGCGGTGGCCGGCGGGGGGTGGGAAGGCAGCGCCGGCTTAGATGCGGCGCGGGAGTGGGGCAGGGGAGGCAGAGGAGGAGAGGAGAATTTTTACTAAGCCACCGAGCGGTGGAGTAAATATAGGGAGGCGCGGCGCGGCTGAGGATAATTTATCCTCCACTACCGCCGATTGGGGATGCCTTTGCGGCGGACCTTTGCTTAAACTTGATGTGGAAAGCGTTTGACGCAAAGCTGTTTAGGCTATAGCTACTCAAGTGCTATCTTGATGAAATGGGTAATTAGTTACAAAGAGACTGTTCACTCAGAAGAGGTGAAGAGCTTAGTGCGCCAGTTTGGAGAGTTTAAAATCACCCACGTCAATAGGGATCAAAATAGGGCAGCTTGCTCAATTTTTTTTTAAGAAACGCAGGAGAACTGTGCAATTCATTCAGAAGGGGTGGCTGACAGCCAAACTGTACAAACCATACCAGAAGGTATAGGCAAACAAAGAGAAAAATAAACAAAAAGCGGCATGGCGATCAGTCGTGGCTAGATCAAAAGCGGCATGAGTTAGCTCAATTTAGTCTGCGGCTTTCTGTGCTTTCACTTTGGGACCATGGACTGAGTTTTGTCCAGCTATTGGATGCTGAATGTAAACCTATCGTGATGCAATAGATCTCACCTTTTCCTCACAATAAAGAAAGAAAGAAATAGGGCAAAGCTTTGATGAATGTTACCCGACTTATTTGGTGATGAATGATGAATCAACTAATTGATAATAATTTGGATCATATTTATCAGATTCCCTTAAACCATTGTTAAACATCTATTTCGGTCGAGAGATCTGGTTCACAGTTGGGCCGCAATCTTATTTCCTAAGGGCTGGATGAGAAACTAGCTGCTAATGAACAAAGAAAACCAAGAGAACTAACTGAGAGAGGGATGCTGTCATGTCGGATCTGATGCCACGTCGCGCTGAAACCAATGGTCGACGAGTCGTTCTGGGGTAGCGACTCTTGACTAGTTGTCACTAGTCTAGACTCATGGTCGACTAGTCGACATGAGGAGCAGTAGCAAGCCAGCAACCAGGGGAGGAGCAGCAACCGGATCTTCGTGATGAGGTGCAAATATCTTCTTCGTGAACCACATCTCTGATTAGTGAGCCGAGGAGGTATTACCAACCCTGAGGAGCCTACTTTTATGAAGTCGTGAATCTCCTCCAAACCTGGATCATGGACCCAGCAAATTGCGAGTCATGTATCATGGTTTGGATGATTATCAAGCAATCTAATGATAGCCTTCTATTGTCAACTAGGAGGTTTCTCTTTCAGGATGTGTTGTGACAATATTGTGTCTACCTTTAACTAGTTTACATCTTGCTAGGACTTCCCATCACAAAATTTGACATTCTGAGCATTTTCTCAGTACCTCGGATATCCCTTCTTTGCGTATTGCATTTCGGGTAATGCTAAATGTCACTATTGTTTGCGCATATAATGCTCTGAGCAGTTTCGGTTCTTATATATATGTACTTGGGATTTGTCATTTCTTCGTAGTTGTCGGGAGATGCTTCTCTATTGTGTCCCATATATGTTTTCCCTCTTTTCACTAACTTGTACTCCCTCCGTCCCAAAATAAGTGACTCAACTTTGTACTAAAGTTAGTACAAAGTTGAGTCACTTATTTTGGGATGGAGGGAGTACTAAATAGCGAGCTAACAAGTCCCCTTCTTTTTGACACCGGACTTTCCAATCAAAGTGGTTGTAAGACTCATAAGGATCTAGTTTACGAAGATCCCATTGTATTCCAGAAGCTCGTAACGTCAGTCCTTATAAGCCCTAATTTACTGCCTCTTATCTGATAATAAAACCTACTCCTTCCAACTCGCTCTAGAAAAAGGGGATTCTGTGCAATACATTGTTGATCTTCAGCAATTCCGCGTGAAAAATAATCACAGAAATCTAAACATTTATTGATCCATCTATAAGGTAGATTGGCAGCCTCTGGATGATTGAAGAAATTCTATGGATAGAGAGCCAGTTCCATTAGACTTATATAGAACAAACATTCCGTTTGCGTGCCTTTCCCTGTACTTCAAAGTCGAACGCAACTGCTGCTACATATATGAGAAGTGTTTTGCTAGATTATTTCAATAAAGACACTTTCAATTATTTTGTTATATGTAGATGTTTGCAGGAAACTGTCATTCCATTATTTTAGTTTCTTTTATTGAACTATGTATTTATCTTACTCTAATTGAGATATTTTTTTACACCTTCTTACCAACTATAATAAAACTAGCTGTTTGGTAATTGCTTACCCATCCTTTTTTTAGCATGGCAAACCTTTGTAAGCGGTGTGTATGTATTTGTGCCTGAACAGCTGGCATTTTCCCCCATTAATTCTCAATATTGCTGCAGCCTTCATGTAAATGTGCCATTCATAGAAATTTCCTTATCATTCTTTTCTATTTATCTGCACCTGCTCTCATGCTTCCATTGTGACAAGCGTATTTCCCTGGTTAGTGTTTTTTGCTCAATGAAGTTGGGAATCTTGTATTGGAACTTGTGGTTTTCATTTTAGACTGGCATGGTTAGAATGTTTTTGTGATTAAATAGTGATTTCTTATTGTAGCAGTATGATATTGATATTGCTTATCATAATGATTCCAGTTGCTTGAAAGAGCTCTTGAAGCATCTGGAGATGATTTGGATTTTGCAATAAGGAGTTTGAATGACCTGCGCCTGGAGTCAGCTGAGGCTATCTTTTCAGCTGCATTTAGTGAACCTGAGAATGGCCTGTCAACAGCCCTTAAGTTATCGGCTGAAGGTATGCTGATTGAATTTACATCAGAAGGTGGTTGCATGGTAGACATTCAAGCACAATTCATCGCATTTAACATGTTTATTTATTGATAAAAACTTGTTCGATAAGTGAAACAGTATGCGTAATTGTTTTGCTTGATGTTTTGCAACAATGGTAGTCAGTCTGATCAAATAAGCATCTTTCCCTGAATTCCTTAATTGTTCTGCCTGGTGTTTTGCAACAATGGTAGTTAGCATTATCATAGTCTGCATGCACTTTTCATGTATTTGTGTCCTGTGTAAAAGACATATTTTAATTTTTGTTCTGTCATGTCTATCATTCACATTGTGGTTATTTGAAATAGACTGCATGCCTTGTACTTCATGTATTGCATAATCTATGCTACTCAATTTTCAATTGGTATTATATGGCATCTTTGGTATTCCTGCAAAAATGTCTTATATTAGTGTACAGAGGTAGTACTCCCTCCGTCCCAAAATTCTTGTCTTACATTAGTCTAGATACGGATGTATCTAATACTAAAACGTGACTTGATACATCCGTATTTAGACAAATCTAAGACAAGAATTTTGGGACGGAGGGAGTACTGGTTAAGCTTTTATTACTTCCACGATGTCTATTGTTTGGCAGCCTACTTATATCACTATATCTTTATGAATCATGTATCCCTTTTATATTAATGGAAACAATTTTCAATGTTGGACAGGTAATGGCCAATTGGATGCTATTAGTGGAAATCCACCTGCGACAGATAATTGTCAGACAAATCACCATAGCTCTGAATGGGTTGAGCTATTTGTTAGAGAGATGATGAGTGCCTCTGACATAAATGATGCACGGGCTCGTGCATCAAGAGCTTTGGAGGTTATTGAGAAGTCCATCATGGAGCGGACAGGAGCCGAGGCAGTGCAAAACTTGCACAAGGTACTATGAATACACTCGCATAATATTCACGATTTACCTCTAGGGCTTAATGTTTTCACTTGTCCATAGGAAAATAAGATGCTAAAGGAGCAATTAGCAATAGCTCTTCGAGAGAATGCTGTTCTGAAGCGGGGGGTTGCAATCCAACACGAGCGCCAAAAAGAGTTTGATGATAAGACACAGGAGGTTCACAACCTAAAGCAATTGATTTTGCAGTATCAGGAACAACTAAAGACTCTCGAGGTTATCTCCAGACCTTGCTTCTTTGGTTCTTAGCTATCCATTTCACACCAAGGGTTGGGTTTTAATTTATCTCTTGCGAACCGCCTGTCATTGCAGATCAATAATTATGCACTTAGGGTGCATCTACAGCAGGCTCAGCAGAACAGTTCAATGCCCGGGCGTTTCCACCCTGATGTTTGCTGATAAGCTTTCCATCCTGATGTCTGCTAATACGCACATCGAGGAGGATATCCCTCTCACACTAGAATTCTGCCCAGGTATCTTATTGTCAGAGGGATTCAACTATTGGCCCTGGTATTCGTACACTTTCCGAAGTCCCGAGCTCATATGGTATTCGTACACTTTTTGAAGCCCCAAGCTCATATGTTTACGTATGCATCACATTACCATAAAGACCTGCCATCTGAGAAATGTAAACAGCGAAGTGTCGATATTGTAATAAAGGATCCTGTGCTCCAGGAAAGGTCAGAAGAAATAATATGTTGAGGTGGATGGTGCTGCGGTGCCTATTGGTTAATGCATCACTCTGTAACAGTATTTTGTGTGTGACCTCAAGGGTGAGCATAGTGTATTGCTACCAGACTTAAAATGCAAGTATCGATGAAAAATGGCGTGTTGATGTTTATTTCCTTTGCTGTGACGTCGAATCTTTACAGGATGTGTTGATCGTTCGTTCATTTTGTATGAGCAGAAATAGACCTGTGTTGATCATTCGTCCATGACTTTCGGCTCTATGGTTGAAGCTTTTTTTATCGCCGGATGAAGCTTTTTTCATCGCGATATGAAGCTTTTTTGGTCACTGGTTGCAACTTTCCGGCCGGCGGGTGAGCTGCTGTCGTCAATTGGTTTTTCATCTTTTTTGCTACCACTGTTTTCGCGTTTGCTGGAAGCATCACATTTTTTGCTCCCACCGTTGTTTTTGGATGTGAACCACGGGCCGTCGTCACCATTGATTCTGCAGGGGCGAGGGAGAGGTGAGGGGATGGGCAGCACAGATGAGCAGCGGAGCTGCAACCGACGAGCAGCGGAGCTGCAACCAGCAGCTCAAAAGGCGACGGGCGACGGCGGCGACCGGTGACGGCGAGGCAATTCGGCAGGAGGCAACCTGCTTCGAGGTTGGTCGTTTGCTCGTTCATGGCGAGCGCCGGCGGCGCCGCTGCTTTGTTTCCCGCTGGTCTCGTTAGATTTGGTTTTGAAAAAAAAAACAGAAACAAAAAAAACAGAAACCCCAATCTAACGGCAACACTTGTCGCGGCGCCTATCACTGCCCTTAATATATTGGTGAAAATAATTACTTTCTCTGTCTGAATTTACTTGTAGTAGAAATAGATAAAAAATGTATGTATCTAGAACTAAAATATGTTTAGATACACCTATTTTTTGATTAGTATAATAATTATAAATTAATAAGAGCAAATTGACACAATGGTTTTTTTTTCGGTTTTATCATTTGTGTGGCAACTGTTTTTTTGTTGCTTTCTAACTGTTTTTTTTTTTGCTTTCTGTCGACTCTATACATCAGCATATTTGGGCCTCCGGTCAACACTTGTAGCATGTGTTCGTTGTGTGTGCACGTGATAATCCTAGACTCACGAGCTGTTTAAGTGTGTTTTACCAGACCTTTCAATTAATTTTCTATACCCTGAATTTCACCAGGGTGGGGCTCATCCCTCTTCATATCTTCCAATCCTACTCTTCCACGTCATGCTGTCCGTTGAATCCGTGAGACTCCACATGCGTTTCGCTGTGCGTGAGTGCGTTGTTTCCTTGCTTTGTGTGCATGCTTGTGTATCAGGTGATACGGAGCCTTAGAGCTCCCATGATACGAGCTTCTAGGAGCCGTTGTATCTGAGATTCAATGGATCAAAAACTCGTATCATGGGAGCATCGAAGGCATGGTATCATCTGATATTTTCCCGTGTATGTAAGTATGTGTGTGAGCCTGCATAGATTGTGTGTGTGAGAGAGATATGGGGGGAATGCTGCTATGCACATGACAACTTTCAACCAATGTTTTCATGACACTATGGTTAGTACTGGTGACCAGTCCACGGACATTGATGTGGGAGTCAACCATCCAAGATATATTTGCATACAATTTAAAGCACATTTCAACAAACCGAACCAAAATTCATCAAACACGATGAATTTCATTAAAGTTTGGACATAATTTACATAAAATGGCCGATATTTCGACGTCTAACTTAAAATTAAAAAAAAACTAAAGTTTATAGTGGAAGACCACCTCTTACGCGTGGCCGCCCTGCCTGGCCGCACCGCCGTCACAATCGTGTCATCATCGTCCCTCCAACGGCGCAAGGGCGCGGGGTCGTAGCGGCAGCCTTGTCCGGCCGCTGCCTGACGCCCGCGGAGGAGCCGCTCCGCTTCCTACTGCGGGGTGTGGAGGGCTGCCACGGCCATTTCAACGACGCCCGTAGAGCCTTGGCGGTGGCCTGGCCCCTGCCGGCATTGGCGGAGGTGTCTCTAAGCAACAACTCATCGCTGATTTTTGCGAGCTCGCCGTCAAAGTGACGGTGGCGCCTCGCGGCCATCTCCGCGGTCATGATAGACCGCTCCAGGGCCTAGGTCGCCGCTAGGTCGGGGTCATTGAGGACCCAATACAACGTCGCGCCCGACTTGGCGAATGCGGAGCGGCGGGCAGCATTGCGCCGCTCATTCCGCGTCGCCTGCCTCATTGCCCTTTCCACGACGGACACGACAGCTCGCGAGCTCAGGGGACTGCCGCCACTGCCGGCACCGAGGTAGTGTAGGATCCGGTCGCGGGCCTTGGCGATCGGGGACAGTAGTTCGTCTTGACGAACTGGCCGCGTCGATTATGACGGGGCAGCAACAGCGACCCATCGATCCTGGTGTATCAGTTGTACGGCATCAACGACGATGGCTACTCCTTCACGCGACGCCCGATTTGGACACCGCAGTTGTTGGGGATCGTAGCAGAAATTTAAAATTTTCTACGCATCACCAAGATCAATCTATGGAGTAATCTAGCAACGAGAGGAAGGGGAGTGCATCTACATACCCTTGTAGATCGCTAAGCGGAAGCGTTGCAAGAACGCGGATGAAGGAGTCGTACTCGTAGCGATTCAGATCGCGGTTGATTCCGATCTAAGCGCCGAACCACGGCGCCTCCGCGTTCAACACATGTGCAGCCCGGTGACGTCTCCTACGCCTTGATCCAGCAAGGGGAGAAGGAGAGGTTGGGGAAGACTCCATCCAGCAGCAGCACGACGGCGTGGTGGTGAAGGAGGAGCGTGGCAATCCCGCAGGGCTTCGCCAAGCACCGCGGGAGAGGAGGAGGACTTGGGAGAGGGAGAGGGCTGCGCCAGAACTTGGTTGCGACTGCCCTCCCACCCCCCACATATATGGGGGCAAGGGAGAGGGGGGCCGGCCCCCTCAGATCCAATCTGAGGAGGGGGCGGCGGCCAGGGGGGTTACCTTGCCCCCCAAGGCAAGGGGGGCGCCCCCCTTTAGGGTTCCCCCAAACCCTAGGCGCATGGGCCCTGGGGGGGAGGCGCCCATCCCACTAAGGGGCTGGTCCCTCTCCACACACAGCCCATAGGGCCCTCCGGGGCAGGTGGACCCTTCCGGTGGACCCCCGGAACCCCTCTAGTGGTCCCGGTACAATACCGGTAACCCCCGAATTATTCCGGTGACCGTATGATGACTTCCCATATATAAATCTTTACCTCCGGACCATTCCGGAACTCCTCGTGACGTCCGGGATCTCATCCGGGACTCCGAACAACATTCAGTAACCACATATATCTATTCCCTATAACCCTAGCGTCATCGAACCTTAAGTGTGTAGACCCTACGGGCTCGGGAGTCATGCAGACATGGCCGAGACAACTCCCCGGTCAATAACCAACAGCGGGATCTGGATACCCATGTTGGCTCCCAAATGCCCCACGATGATCTCATCGGATGAACCACGATGTCAAGGATTCAATCAATTCCGTATACAATTCCCTTTGTCTATCGGTACGATACTTTCCCGAGATTCGATCGCCGGTATCCCGATACCTTGTTCAATCTCGTTACCGGCAAGTCTCTTTACTTGTTTCGTAACACATCATCCCATGATCAACTCCTTGATCACATTGTGCACATTATGATGATGTCCTACCGAGTGGGCCCAGAGATACCTCTCCGTTACACGGAGTGACAAATCCCAGTCTTGATTCGTGCCAACCCAACAGACACTTTCGGAGATACCTCTAGTGAACCTTTATAGCCACCCAGTTACGTTGTGACGTTTGGTACACCCAAAGCACTCCTACGGTATCCGGGAGTTGCACAATCTCATGGTCTAAGGAAATGATACTTGACATTAGAAAAGCTTTAGCATACGAACTACACGATCTTTGTGCTAGGCTTAGGATTGGGTCTCGTCCATCACATCATTCTCCTAATGATGTGATCCCGTTATCAACGACATCCAATGTCCATGGTCAGGAAACCGTAACCATCTATTGATCAACGAGCTAGTCAACTAGAGGCTTACTAGGGACATGGTGTTGTCTATGTATCCACACATGTATCTGAGTTTCCTATCAATACAATTCTAGCATGGATAATAAACGATTATCATGAACAAGGAAATATAATAATAACCAATTTATTATTGCCTCTAGGGCATATTTCCAACAGTCTCCCACTTTCACTAGAGTCAATAATCTAGTTCACATCGCCATGTGATTAAACACTCACAGGTCACATCGCCATGTGACCAACATCCAAAGAGTTTACTAGACTCAATAATCTAGTTCACATCACTATGTGATTAACACTCAATGAGTTCTGGGTTTGATCATGTTATGCTTGTGAGAGAGGTTGTAGTCAACGGGTCTTGCCATATTCAGATCCCTATGTATTTCGCAAAACGTTATGTCATATCATAGATGCTGCTTCCACGTTCCACTTGGAGCTATTCCAAATTGTTGCTCCATTATACATATCCGGTATCTCTACTCAGAGCTATCCGGATAGGTGTTAAGCTTGCATCGATGTAAAACTCTTTATCACCTCCATAACCGAAAAACATTTCCTTATTCCTCTAAGGATAATTTTGACCGCTATCTGGTGATCCACTCCTAGATCACCTTTGTACCCTCTTGCCAGACATGTGGCAAGGCACACATTAGGTGCGGTACTTCAACATG